TTTAGGGGAGACACTGTTTCCCCTAGCGCCCCCTGGCATGACAGGGAACAATGGACACAAATTATTAGAGAGTAGGTTTAGATTAGACATCCGCAAGAACTGCTTCACAGTTAGGGCAGCTAGGAGCTGGAACCAACTTCCAAGGGAAGTGGTGCTGGCTCCTACCCTGGGGATCTTTAAGAAGAGGCTTGATGCCTACCTGGCTGGACTCATTTGAGTCCAGTTTTTCTCCCACTCATGCGGGGGGTCGGACTTGAAGATCTACAAGGTCCCTTCCGACCCCGCTTCTATGATTCCTAAGCCACAGTCCCTCAGCCCTGCTGCTGCCTCTCACTCCTGACCCACAGTACCTCACCCCCAGCCCTGCCAGTGACCCTCATTCCTGAACTGCAGCACCCTGCCTCCCCAAGCTCTGCCAGTGCCCCTCACTCCTGGCACATAGTCCTCTGCCCTCAGCCCTGCCAGTGCCCCTCGCTCCCAACCTGCAGCCCCCTGCCCCCCAGCCCTGCCGGTGCCCCTCACTTCTGACCCACAGGGCCCTGAGCCCTGCTGCCCACGCAGCTCGCACACATGTGTGCATACACACTCTTTCTCTCTGTGTCTCTCTGTGTGTCTCTTACTTGCAAGCAGCTGTCAGGGCCCGTGCACAGAGCACATGATCCCCCAACAGCCAACTACTTTCCCTCGGTGCTCCCAGCCCCAAGCAGCCAAGCCACAAGTGCTGGAGAAAAGCAGAGGCAAAGCAAAAACTCGGGCTTTTGCTTGCATTTTAAAAACCCGCCTGGACAGAACACAGGGGGCCAAAAAAGATGACATGTATGGGAAAACCCAGATGTATGGTAACCCTATTTCAGCCTCCAGGGCCAGATTACTTGCCCTGGCTCTGGCCCTGGCTTATATTTCTCCCAGGCCCTGCCTCTTTCAGGTCTGGGATTGACAGACTCTGCTGCAACTCAGCCACATCTTCCCATGCAGGGTGAGTGGCTCTGGATTCTTGATTCGGTTCACAAAACACTGTTTCTGCTGCTCCCACTTTCCCATCTCTTGTTGTCATTATAAGGCTTCAAAGTATTAAGATCCTTGCAGCAGACTCTTCCTCCATTTGGGGCAGGTCTAGGAGATAGTTTCCCATGAGCTGATGTCAATATTGCATTTTTTCAAGTTGACCATGAGAACGTCCGTGAAGCACTTTCTCTGCCTTGCTCTTGAGTGTATGCCTTGACTGAGCTGGGAGAATAAGACTTGCCTCGAGTCTGGAGTCAGACATCTGGGTGATGTGGCCAGCCCAGTGAAGTAGATGCTGGATGATCATTGAATCAACGCTTGTGGTGTTTGCCTGTGACAGGACACTATCTTCCCACTGGATTTGAAGGATCTTCCACAGGCCGTGTTGATGCTACTTCTCCAATGACTTGAGGTTTCTCCTGTATGTTGTCTATGACTCAGCTCTGTACAGTAAGGTGGGGATCACAAATGCTTGATAAGCCATAAGCTTGGTTTCAGATCTGATGTTATATCTTTAAACACTCATTTCCACAGGTGTCCAAAGAGTGTGCTTACACATTGGAGGCAATGTTGGATTTATTCACAGAGGTCAGCCTTCTGCGTGAGATGGCTTCCAAGGTACGGAGAATATTCGACATTCTGATGTACACGCGAGCGTCCCTGGTGATGGGGATATAACAGTGGAAGGATGGTGAACTGAGACTCTACTGACAAGCTTAACCCAGTCAAATGCCCCAGCCTTAGCTGCTCTGCTACTTACCCATGGAGTTGTACTGAGGCCTGGGGGGATGACCAATTGGGGGAGGCTGAAGAGAGGAAAGTGACATCCCTCTGAGGAACTCCCACTAGGTGACACTCAGTAGTTCACAGGCCAGACCCTTGCCATCCAGTATCACATCCCAGTTTGCACCTCTGTGCTCTGCCTGTATCTGTTCCCTGGCCCTCTGTGCAGTGTTAGGTAAGAATGTAGGAGCTATGAATATGTGCACCTGAGACCCTCTCCTCTGCACAGTAGAGAACATGCCTCCCTTTGCTAACCCCAAGCATTAAGCTGCCTTGCCTGTGGAAAGCCTGTTATGGTTGAAAGGCTCCTCAGGCAGTATTTGTGGCCCAGCTGTTTCCTTTCACATGCAACTAGGTCTTTGGATTCAACTGGCCTAACCAGTTTTTTCTCAGAGGGGTATTGTTCAGAGGTGTCCCCAGGCCCTGGCCCACCCCCACTTCCTATTTCACCAGCAGGGCAGAACAGTGACAAAGCCCACAATACAGATGGAAGTGAGAATGTGACAGCATCAGCAAGTGTAATGTTCTCTCCTTGTCCCCCAGCCAGGGCGTGCGCGCACACACACGTGCGAGCACACACACACACACTCTCTCTCTACAATACCATATGAGCTTCTGTGGCTTTGTTCATAGAAATGTTGCACCAAGGCTGTGTTGTGTGTAAAGCGGGCCTGGACATGGGAGCAGGGGACTGGGCTGGAAGCAGTGCCAAGAACTGAAGTGCTCAGTACTCCCTGTTAGGGCTGGATTTCACTGGGTAATGCCAGGAAGCTGGCACCAGGTATGGACTCTAACAAGGAATGAGGCTGCCAGTGAAGTAGATCAGAAGGAAGGAAGAAAAGTGAACAGCCCCTCTAACCCAACATCACCCTGGAGGCAGCCTGACACAACCAGGGTATCAGCTGGACAGGGATGGTGCCCAGCTTAGTCATATGGCATGTGTAGAGTGGGCCCTGAGCTAAAGCAAAACAAATCCAAAACAGCAGACAAGTGAAATATGAATAAACACCACAGTGTGAGCAGCTGAGCAGGGGGTCTTTGGGTAGAGCAAGACTGGGGCTCCAGGCCAAGCTAGGGAGTAGATCAATTCACTTGGCAGATACCACAGAGTAGATCTGGATGTCTGCAAGACTGAAGAACCTCCTATGCCCCGGCCTCTTAGGACTCCTCTCCCCTTTTTTGGTGAGCAGTTGCCCAGCCCCAAGCATTATCTGATGTAGGTCCTGTGAGTGCAGAGGAAGGAACATTCTTGATGATGGGAGATAGTCACTGCATTCCTTAGCCTGTCTGGACCTGCTATTCCTCAAGACAACATCATGCTTCTAGCCAGACCTTTACTCAACTGCTGGCATCCAAGAACCATTTGACCCACCTGTGAGGCTGGAAGCCTCACACCCTCCAGGCACAGGGGCCAGGAGAAGGTCACTATAATCTTTCAGATTCAGACCTGCTCCTTCCACAACTGCAAAGAACCTCCTCCCCCTCCCCGCTTCTCCCCATCTGCACTGCAGCTTGTTTTCTGCCCATCCATGGCCTATTGCCTGTGGGCAAAATGAATCAGCACAAATGACCCACCCCACCTCCTAGGTCCAGTGCTGCAGGGGTGACATCTGGTTCGGCTCCCTCTCTTGGTAACTTCTCTGTGCAAAGCAAGGCTTACTCCTTCCCTCCTCTTTGTCTTCCCGGGAATGTCCAGAGCATGATCCCTGTAGAGGCCATGGCCTCCCAGGCTACTGGGCAGGGGGCTCAGGCTTCTGGCAGCTGACCTGCATAGCTCAGGGACAGCAGGGTCTGGGATCTCCTTGCAAACTCTGAAATGTACAGCACTGCAGTCCATACATCCTGCTTGCTCTTACCAGGACCTCAAACAATGACCCTTTCATAGATTCATAGATGTTAGGGTTGGAAGGGACCTCAATAGATCATCCAGTCTGACCCCTTGCATAGGCAGGAAAATGTGCTGGGTTCAAATGACCCCAGCCAGATGCCTATCTAACCTCCTCTTGAAGACCCCCAGGGTAGGGGAGAGCACCACCTCTCTTGGGAGCCCATTCCAGATTTTGGCCACTCTAAC